AGGAATCAAAGTGGGCTTGCCGTCAGGATAGTTAGTTTGGGTAACTGTTAGTTTCGTCAGTTTACTACTACTACCGCCCCCCCCCTCCCCCAGTGGCACAGCGGTATGTCTGCGGACTTACAACGCTAGAATCCGGGTTTCGATACCCGTGGTGGGCAGAGCACAGATAGTCCATTGTATAGCATTGTGCTTAATTCTAAATAAACAAAATGCTACTAGCGTTTTTACTTGTATCCTTAGGCTTTTGGTTGTTCTGTACCTACAGCTAGCGAGTAACGTCTAGCTTTTAGTGTGTTAGAGATGTAATTCGGTGGTGCTCGTAGCGTAAAATCGTCATGTTTTGGTTCAACTTGATCTTAAATCATGCTACGCTTAGAAATGTTTATCTAGCTTGTTCTGTTTACTGGATAGAAAATATGCGCAAACATATAATTGGTTATTTTTTAGTTTTAGTTTTTATAGCTGAAAAACGTTCGCTTTAAAAATATTCCGTGTTGTTTAATACGATGCTAAGTTGTTAAACGAAGCATTTAACATACGAGTACAACGCCTTTTAGGTATAGGTTTCGTTTTTTTAAAGTAGCCTTATCATTAAAAATATCCAAACAACTGTCACGTGACAAGCCATGCGCAGCGTTCTTGTTACACGAAAAGGTCATCGTATGTTTAGCGAGACTTTTATGTGGCAGGTCAGCTATGACCTCGCACGAAAAAAAAAAACAAAAATTTAAAAGTGTTGATAGAATGACTGAAATTATCAAGAGCGTATTTCAATAAAAAAGCTAACTTTTATTTTGAAGTTAGGGAATTATGGCTTGCGAAAATGTATTGCATTAACAACTTCTTGTTCAAATCTTCGTGACAATATTTTCATTAAATTAACAGAATGCTGTTATTCGTGACCATAGCCTTTTTTCTACTTCTCTTGTCCTAGATAGTAACGATCACCTACAGATATTTGATTTAAAAACAAAACAAATTCTATACAGATGAGGGGCCCGGCATGGCCAGGTGGTTAGGGCGCTCGATTCGCAATCTGCAGGTCGCAGGTTCGAATCCCCATCCCACCAAACATGCTCGCCCTTTTAGCCGTGGGGGCGTTACAATGTGACGGTCAATCCCACTATTCGTTGGTAAAAGAGTAGCCTAAGAGTTAGCGGTGGACGGTGATGACTAGCTGCCTTCCCTCTAGTCTTTCACTGCTAAATTAGGGACGGCTAGCGCAGATAGCCCTAGTGTAGCTTTTCGCAAAATTCAAAAGAAACAAACAAACAAACTCGTCTCGTTAATGAAAAAAAAGAGCTTAGTACGTTGGGGCTGTGTATGCATTTAAAGAGTGACGGTCAAATCACACTTGCTATTCGATTAGAGTAGCCCAAGAGATGGCAGGGGGCGCTGTTGATTGGTTGCCTTGTTTTTAGTATATAAGCTCAATGGCTAGAGCAGATAGCCCTTGTAACATTGTACGAGTATCTGAAACAAACAAATTAGCAAATTAATAAGGTTATAGCTTTCAGGTAGCTTAGTGATGAGTCTAGGGCTTATAACGCTAAACTCGGGTTTCGATACCTGCAGTGAACAGAGCACAGATGGCCTATTGTTTAGCTTTGTGCTTAAAAATAAAAACCAAACATGATTTCAGGGCCGTAGGAAGCGGTAAAGCCAGTCAGGCCATTGCCTAACCACTTTTTCATGGCATGTATAGCTACAACGTATGTATTAAAACTTGCTTCTTTTAATTCAATACATTATGTTATGTGTATGCAGTATTTGTAGTTAAATTACGCAAGATTCAATCTAATAGCATGAAATTTTCAACATTTTCTATGATCCCAGAACCCCCTAGAAATGGGGTGTTTTGCTCATATCGCGTGTCACATTCTTTATCTGTGGCAATAGCCTGACCATTCCAAAACTGCCTCCTACGACAATGGATTATAAAGCGTTCTCAGGGTAAAGAAAAATGTATTATAGGGACCTCAGCTCTTGCAACTTCAAATTCCTGCGTAGCAAGTATCTACTATATATAAAAACCAGTTGTCGTTTGGTGATGGTCCATTGTTTTGTGTCGCTTAGCTATGATCTCATATTTTTGTTTTAAATATGTATATAATACTTCGAACGTTCCACTTATTTTAGATCGTTTTGCGTTATAGTTTATGCATACACTTAGCATGACGTAGACGTTTCGAAGTTCTTGGAGAGTTTTAGAAACATCTAACTTAGAGGTTAGTGACCATAATTCTTGAAGTTTTTCTGTTTTAATGTTACTTTTTTGGATAATACTTTTTTCTTTCTTTCTCCCAAACGTATTGTCATTAGCCTTATCTAATCATAATACTTGAAATTAATATTTAGGTTTAAACTTTGTGGTAGAGTTTTTATCATAAACCTTAGGCCTATTGGTTTTGGATGCTTCATCTTCTTTAATTATGTGGAGAATATACTGAAAAGTAAAAACAAAAACAAAAAATGAATAAGGGTTTGATATGATTTTCATAAATGCATGTAAGAGTCATGAATCTGATATATATTTAAAAGCTAGTTGTCATTTTGTGTGTGTGTGAAATTTTTAATATAAGTTTGCTCCATTTTTTATTTTAATTTTTTTTGATAGTGTACTTGAAAAATGTCCTTATTTTCCCAGTCTGTGATTGTTTTCCTTTTTTGATGAAGAAGAGTTTAGTAAACAAAGCTCGCTGAAGGAAGGGCGGAGGCCTCCGGATTTTTTTTTTTACAAAACTCCAACCCGTCATTTTTTGACCGGTCGGGCAAGGCTAATTATCTATAACTTGTTAAGAAAATAACGAATTACTTATGTCTTTCTTACATTTAATAGCAGGAATATACGTATGTGTTACGGTAAAAATTTGTGTTTATTTAAAGCGTACACACACAATTTCATACAGTTGACTTTGGTATCACAAATTTAAGATTTATTGAGCATTTATCACTTCCTAAAACAAGCTAGTTTGTTTTAATAATCAGTAGAAGTTTGTGAGAATATATTTCTCTTGGTTCGTCGGCAGTGAACGTTACATGAACGCGTTTCACTGAAAACACAACAGATTCATATTAACTGAAACTAAACTAGGCTGTTACAAATGCTCGTTGAAACTAAATATGAACTAAGCTAAGTTAGCGCAGCTTTTAAAACTAAATATGAACTATACAGTGTCAGCACAGGTTTTTTTAATCTAAATATTACCCAAGCTATGCTAGCACAGATTTTTAAACTAAATATCAACTAAGCTAAGTTGGCGCAGCTTTTTAAACTAAATACGAACTATACAGTATCAGTACAGGTTTTTAATCTGAATATCAGATAAACTATGCTAGCACAGCTTTTAAAACTAAATATAAACTAGTTGCTACTGCTTATTGAAACTAGATACTAACTAGCTGTTTTGTCACTGCTTTTTCAAACTAAATATCATTTAGGCTGAGTTACCACTTCTCTTTGAAACTAGATACCAGTTAGACTGTATTACCACTACTTTTGAAAGGATGGGTAGTTTTTTGACAAATTTGGAGGACTCATATTAATTTTGTTTTGGATGTGGGGTTATTATAAAAACTTGACGGATTACAGTTGTGCAACCAGGATTTTTTTAAGGAGTAAGCTTACTTTCAATCCACCAGTTTCTAAATATACGTTGTATCTAATAAAAAAAGAACACAATATTTATAATATAAATTAAGATACTTAAAGTATATTTTTAAATGTTGTTATATAATACAATACGAGATCATTTAGCCGTAGTTTTAAAAATTATCTATTGTATATATATATATATATTTGAAAAGAAAACGGTTCTAATCCTATAGATGACTTTTTTGGGGAGACAGGGAGTTAGTTTAATATATTATGAACTGTTGGATCTCGTTTCTTCTAGTCGGTGGTTGCTGAATTCTTGTTAAAGCGTTTATAATATTCAAATATTTTGTTTCAATAACTCTGTAGTTTGAAGACAGTTTTGGAATTCAATAGTGCAAAAAAAAAGCATCTATTATTTCAAATAGTTTGTAGGATCTACCGATAAATATCCAGATTATTTGAAGACAGTTTTGGAATTCAATAGTGCAAAAAAAAGCATCTATTATTTCAAATAGTTTGTAGGATCTACCGATAAATATCCAGATTAGTATTTTAGTTTAAAATAATTACTCTAAATCAAGGAATATATAGACGGAGACGACTTGTTACCCTTGATGTCGTATATAAACAAAATCCTCTTTGAATTTCAAATATCCACCTATTACTGTGTTAGAATTCATCAAAAATTATTAGTACAAGTTTAAGCTGAACATGAACATCACAGTATATCTCTTCATATCTGTTTTTACATGTGAACGCGTACGTTTGATCAAGGAATGTTTTCATCTCCAACAGTGTTTGAATTAGCAATCTTTAATAAGATTACTTTACTCGTCAATAACGTTTGAGCTAGAAAACCTTCATGATATTCTTTTAATATTCAACAATGTTTCAATTACAAATCGTCCACAATATTAGTTACATATATATATTTGTTGTTTGTTTGTTTTTTTTATTTTATAACTTAGGAATCGACTTCAGCTGAGTGCTAATCAGGCATTCTTCCTATTCATTGATAACAAGAGCATGGCGAGCATGTCCAGAACTCTAGCAGAGGTTTACAGTGAGAACAAAGATGAGGATGGATTTCTCTACGTCACATACGCCTCGCAAGAAATGTTTGGCAGTGGTGATTCACTACGTCCTTTGTAGCATTATTAAAAATTCCTCTCCCCTTCGACAGGTTGAAAGTAGAATTGTAAGAACTTTTATTGTATATATATATATATATATTACATAATTAGTTCACGAACACCATGGTAATCCGCAATAAAATATGAGTTTAGTAAATAAACATCATTTGAGTGATGTTGCATAGAACTCGGTAACTGCAAAACTAAAATATTGAAAAGCTATTTGAGCAAAACTTTCTGGTGCTAATAAACAAGAAATGAATCGGCTAGAATTCAATTAAATGTTGTAACAGTTACGAATGTGGTTTGGTTAGTGTGAATTCCAGGCTCATTTTATTGAAGCATCAAGTTTATCGTAAACTCAACATTTCCTTTTTTTAGTATTTTGAGAAAATATGAGAGTTTATAGCTTCTGATGCTTAATTTCAACTCCAAATACAGTATGACCAAGTATTTTCTCAATGGTTTGGAAGAGTGGGGAGGGAGAGCAACCATGTTATGGCTCTGGCCATGTTTTATTTGGTTCAGTACGACACGTGTTTTGCTCCAAAACGTTATCGAATATCGACAGTACTGTAGTGTAATTATACATTATATACAATGCAGAGACAATTATTTTAGTCCGTTTTTTTTTTTTTGCAATCTCAAACAACCCTTTTCAGTAATGTAGTATCTCCCTTCCCTTGGCGAAGTTTTCGGACAATTTAGATTGAGCTGGTTATACCGTGAGAAAAATGACAGTTCAGTACCACATAGTTGTTTAAGATTTCTCAGTACGTAGTTTTTTTCAACGTCCTTGTACGTATTTTACCCTAGATCAGATTATTCAAAGTGTGTGAGCAATGGCAAACATTTGTTTCCCCACCCCCCTCTTCCCAGTCTCTGGTGCCTTTGATTTTACTCGTGGTTTCGGTAAATGTGTTTCCAGACAGGTCGCTTCTACGTTTATTTACTTCCAGAGGGCAGTTTCGATGTTTCGATTTCTATGTGAATGCTTCATTTCAAATACAAAGCCAGTTCGTTTCTTTCTTTCTTTTTTGCTGTTCTTGTATTGCTTGAACTCTGCGTGTTGTCAACATTAGAACAGTTTGTTGCAGCCAGATTAGATTACCTTCAGAAACCAGTAAAAGTTAATGTGTCAGTACATAATCCTTAATGGGATTGCACGCTGATCCGACGAGTCTGTCAGTGAGTATTTCTGTATATGTGATATGAAGTAAAATATAGTTACCAAGACAACTGTGAACAGCTCTCAGCTATCTTGTGAAAACTGAATTCGTTACAAAAAATGTCAAAGTTGTAAGAGCTTTTTTTTTAACCATTAGAATATTAGAGTATATATATTATTTGATATAAAATGATATCTAGTTTTGAAAAGTTTGTGATTAAGTATTATTAGAGTGAAATAACTGGAAGTGCGAGCGATAAGGGTAGAGTCAATAGTACAATAATGCAAAATTAAACGTTTTATTATTCTTTATTTGTAATAATAATCGTTAATTACTACAACACATATATAATTTTAATGTGTATCCTTGTATTGTATCTCATCATTTAACTCACTCTTTCACTCATTTAAAAAACAAAAGAAAAAAGAAGGGCGTATGAAACCATATTTATTAAAGGGAGGCGTGGATGATAAAGTTTGGGAAACGCTGCTTTATAGTGGTTTCTAATAACGAAAACACACCAACGATGTTTTATGGCCGATCTAAACTCCTACGGGGTTTCTTTCCTGTTATTTAGTGATATATCCATATAATTTTAAAATCGAACTGAAATGTGGTGATGTGATATTATCCCTAAACATGAGGATTCCATCAGCGTCTTTGGCGAGTTATTTAAACAACTATTTTATTCTGTGTTACAATGAAACAATGATTAAATTCATCGAGCAAAACAAGAAAAAAAAAAGGCGATAAAAAGTGCAACGTTACATCTTAAGAATGATAAAATGCAATAATCTCTTTACATAATGGTGATTAAGATACGACGTTAATATTGTGGTGACTTGTGGCGTCAAGTATAAATCACGACGGATTACTTTTATAACCCTAAAAAAACACATTATAATCTGGTTAGTAACTGAATCTTGTGATTGTTGGTTACTGTGCAGCAACCAGGAATACTGAACACGTTGTCCAACAATAGTTATATATTTACATATATGAGGTCAATTTATAAATCTGGATCTTTTTATTGTGTATTGTACTCAGGCATCTTAAAACTTACTCTCACGTGAAACGTCGTCGTCCTTCTTATCCCATTTTTTTTATTTCCAAGTTTTATTAGATGAACACGTTTAAATTGATGAGATAACTGTGCATCAAGTCTGCTTTGATTTTATGTCTGTACTTTTGTTGTTATTTTTTAGCTTTTCAAGCCATTGTGGCCATACACTGCATGTTACTCATTTTCATTGTTTCTTCAAATATTACTTTCTGAATTTTTTTCTTAATTTAGGAACTCGCCATATTCGACAAATAACGGTTTATTTTATTACTTTCAGCAACCGGCGTGCATGACGTATCTTCTGAAAACCAGACTCTTTTAGACATGTATTTAGACCGAAATACTCAGCATGATAGAGGAATACAAGCATTCTAAAGGTCCAAAAACTGAAGACTGAGCCACCCCCATCTCTCGCAATATCATGAGACTATACGTGTTTTGAAAAACTCTTCTTTATCATCATCTTTGTAGAATTATACAATGAAGATGGTTAGGATTGTTTAAACCACTGTCTTACGTTCCAGAGTCATGTGTGTGTGTATAATAATTCTTAACCCTTTATTACGGTAATGGAAAAAAACCCTTACATGGACGATAAAGGGTTAATCGCCACAAGGAACATCTTTCAGGCCTATTGAAATGACTTCAAGTGTTATTTCAATCTCCAGTTTTCGCCTGTCTCAACTACTACGTTTCCAAAAGAGTGAAACCAAGCAGATATGTGAATCTCCATTGCTCACTTCCTTGGACGAGTTCTATGAAACCTAAAAGCTTTTCGTCACACGTAGAGGTGTCAATAGTTTAGGTAGAATATACTGTTATTGCTGGTTTTACCTTGGGTAGAATACACCGTTATTGCTGGTTTTACCTTGGGTAGAATACACTGTTATTGCTGGTTTTACCTTGGGTAGAATACACTGTTATTGCTGGTTTTACCTTGGGTAGAATACACTGTTATTGCTGGTTTTACCTTGGTATGTCTGAATTTGTTAATAGTCCAGTTTTTATTCACCAGTGAACTTTCAAAAGCTTTCTTTTGTGTGATAAAAGATTGGAGTAGTTTACAGATATTTTAAAACGATTTTAAAAATAATGTGATGTTTCAGTTATCTATTAACATAGCTAGAGATTGCAATCTCTTGTAAGGTTGTCCTTTAGCAAGTAACGTTATTTAGGGTTGCCTGGCAACCATGGATGAAACATATGAAAATATCGCCAATTTGATTTGTTTGTAATTAAGCACAATGGTCTATCTGTGCTCTGCCCACCACGGGTATCGCTACCCGATTCTAGCGTTGTAAGTCCGAATACATACCGCTGTGCCACTGCGCCAATTTGGCTTTAGTAAATAAGTCTTATACATTTACTAACACAACAACAAAAATTGTATTCTTAATTGATACATTCTGAACGTCCCAAGTCACGGAGAATTTGACATTCTTCCAACACTTGTGCCCGCCATTGGCACAGCGGCATGTCTGCGGACTTACAACGCTAGAATCCGGGTTTCGATACCCGTGGTGGGCAGAGCACAAATAGCCCATTGTGTAGCTTTGAGCTTAATTAAAAACAAACAAACAAACAATCCAACACTTATTTCTGCTTTTAATAAACAAGTTAATATATTTCCTATTGATAAGATATATTTTTCGCATATTTTGATTTAAAAATTTTCTTAGGCCCCGGCATGGCCAGGTGGTTAGAGCGATTGACTCGCAATCTGAGGGTCGAGGGTTCGAATCCCCGTCCCACCAAAAACATGCTCGCCCTTTCAGCCGTGGGGGCGTTATAATGTGACGGTCAATCCAACTATTCAACTCTTGGGCTACTCTTTTACCAACGCTACACGAGGGATATCTGCGCTAGCCGTCCCTAATTTAGCAGTGTAAGACTAGAGGGAAGGCAGCTAGTCATCACCACCCACCGCCTTTTGCGAAATCAAAACAAACAAACAAACATAATTACAGACATGTATTGTTGGTTTCTAGATAACAAGTATAAGTACAAATTTTCTAAGTGATCTATATCTATGTGGCAGCTTAATATACGTAGTTATAGATTGTTTTCATCTTCTTTAGTTTATGATTTGGATATTTTGGGATGCTATATTTTTTATTGAATCTAATACATCAACTGCTAAAAACGAAAATTTCAGTATTAAAAATTTTGACAAATTTTGTAATCATGTTGTTAACCATACGAGACATCTTAATATATCTATAATAAGACCTATTTATAAAATTACAGACCAACTGCAATGGTTTGAGAATTATTTAAATGATAGCAATAAGTCCGAGGGCTTATACTTGAGGTGGGCAAAGCACAGATAGCCCATCGTGTAGCTGTGTGCCTAACAACAAACAAACAAAAAATATCACTATAAAAATCGTTGACTGTTATAATTAATACTAGCAAATACCCATTGAAACAATTTAACGGTAGTTTTTTTAAAGATATTGATGAATAAATATAAAATGTGAACTCAATCCCTTGGATCAGAGTGTATATGCAATATGAATGTCTAGCAGGCCGTTTATAACCGTCTTTTGTCATGCCATGTTTTATTTCAATAAAAAAAATTGTATTGCATTTGTTTTTAAGCAAATGAGACCGACTGCGATACATTGTTGGCAAAAATGTTAGGGTTTCGATACAACGAATGTATCCAGCATAATAGAGCACTCGGTTTCGCCAAGTAGCCGCGGAGATTTTTTCCGCTGGATGCCACCGTTCCTTATAATTTTACTGGTCGCAAGAAAAGACCGCTACCGAAGTAGTTTCTTTTTTGACAATTGTCATTTCTATAAGAAGTGTCAAAGGGGAGATATTCAATTCAATTTATTCGACATGGTACAATAAAATCATGCATGTGTATAATACCGACATGAATATATATATAAACCAAATAACAACAAATATATACTCAAACACGTTCCTCTCTTTATGCATTTTTGCTGTTCATGCCTCCATCTTTGAAATATTAATTTCAGTCAGTCAGCGGAGGAAGTCCCGATTTCTTCGTGAAGATTCCCCAGAAAAAGAAATATTTTTTGTTCCTAATAAGTGTTTTTTTTCTTCTTACTAACCATTAAGCACATATGAAGACCGATGGGTCGATGTCGTTATCGATATAAAATTTGAAGAATTCCAATAAATTAATACTGTTCTTTGTGCTCTTGAAAAGAAGCATCTTGATCTGTTGTTGTTACGACTAACCTTTCAGGAGATACGGAGCGTAACAGATATTTGGCTACTATGTATATATATATAATCATATACCTTCTGTTATTTCTCAAGAAACAATTCTAGGCCCACTTTTCTCTCATATTTATATAAATGACTTACCTGCATTATACTTCTAAAGCACGATTTTTTTTGTGCTGATAATATTGTTTTAGCAAACTACCGACTGTCTAAAAATGATCTTACAAACCACTAGATGGCTCCACCAACTCTTGGGGGTACTCTTTTACCAACGAATAGTGGGATTGAACGTCACATTATAACGCCTTCACGGCTAAAAGGGGCGACCCTCAGATTGCGAGTCGAGCGCCCTAACCGCTAGGCCATACCAGGCCTAACTGTTTAGGAAATATTTGCCAAAAATGAAGCTATAAAGATGCAGTAATTCCAGGAAAATATCATTGTTTGTTAAAGTATTAAAAACATTTCTTATTCTACAATTATTGTATTTAAAATTAATATATACTGACTTAAAACACGAACATTAGTTATATGTATCTAGTTACAAAATATGTAATTTTTTGTTCACCTAAAATGTCTTGGTATCCGTGTGCGGATGTGATACAATCCGTTTTCATTTTAATTAATGACTTTTAAACGCAGTTAAGCCTAGATGTATTTAACAGTCTATACTAAAGGAGGAAACATTGAGTCTTTCAGAACTTTTGTGCCCTTTTATGGCCCAGCGTTAAGCTGGTGAGCTTATAACGCTACAATTCGGGGTTCAGTCCCTACGGTGGTCTCATCCCAGATATCTCATTGGGCAGATTTGCGTTTAACAACAACAAAAAAAAAAAACACATGATTTTTGTAATATCATTCCTTTCGAAAATAGAAAAAATAAAATAAAAATGCTCAGATTCCCGAAACGTTGTAAACTTTAATTCTTTCTTAATATATGTTTTATATTGTTTCCCTTCGACAAGACAGCCGTAAGTCTAATAACTTATAATCCTATAATCCAGAGTTCGATTCTCCGCCGTAGATACAGCAGATAGCCTGCTCGAAAACAAACACACACACACACATAAGTTCGATAAGATAAAAATAAAGTTAATAACAAACTCACCTCTGTAAAATGTGTAGTAAACTTTGGCTGAAGCAGTGTTTCAAGTAATTCTTAAGGTTTACAGGACTGAAGTAAAACACGCACATGGAGTGACTTACGTTAGCGTCACTATCACTGAATCTGTAGCAGCTGTTTCGGTGTGTGACCTAAATATAAGTCACTTAACTGGTCTGCTGGTGTCGTTTTCTCAAAATACTTGTTCAAAGGTTACGTATTTCATTTTGATAATGGTGATTACAGTGTTGAAATTGTTTGTTAAGGAGGGTTCCGACCAAAGTTTATCGACAGTACTGTGTACAGAAACATCTAAAAGAGCAAACTAAACGGTGTGATAAACTTCTTTCTATTGGCGATAAATGAGTAATATCAGATTTCTACAACTTACTGACACCTGAGCAGACAACTGACTTTCACGTTACTCCCCTCGCACGGAAATATCAGTAACAACCACATTTACATCATCAGGTTTCTACAATTGGCTTTGGGCAACTTACTGACACCTGAGGAGACAGCTGACTTTCAAGTTACTCCCCTCGCATGAAAATATCAGTAACAACCACATTTACATCATCAGGTTTCTACAATTGGCTTTGGGCAACTTACTGACACCTGAGGAGACAGCTGACTTTCACGTTACTCCCCTCGCACGGAAATATCAGTAACAACCACATTTACATCATCAGGTTTCTACAATTGGCTTTGGGCAACTTACTGACACCTGAGGAGACAGCTGACTTTCACGTTACTCCCC